CAGGTCAAGCTGGACTTTCTGTTGCTGTGACAACAAAGTAACAACAAATGATTTACTTATATATACCGATACACACATGAATCCCACCCACATATAATACTAATAATAAAATGGAGGTAGGAGTTACAAAAATAATTATTTAGTGCACTAATATCAAAACTTAAACAGGAGTTGAAGTAGGTTATCAGTCGCAATTCTAACTTCCTGGCAAATTAGTCACCCCATTATTGCTTCATACCTCTGCCAGTAAACCCCCCCCCCCCCCCCACACACACCCACGCGCACACACACACAAACAAAAGGAATTTAACACTGATAAAGATTTTTAAAAATTCAACAGATTATTAGTCATTTGTGTAAAATAATTATTATTTCGTTATTTTTTTTAAATATTTTCTAAAGAATTCCCATTGGTCTTGACTAATTCTTTAAAAAGACATTTTTTTTAAGCATTCCCAAACAACAGGGTTAAAGCCATAAGGCAGCCATTAGAATACCAATATCAACAGTCTATTTGATGTAATAACTATGTTTCTGTAAAACACACCCTTAGTGTCAACTTGGCCTCATAAAATTGGTTTCCAAAAAAATTTCTGAAAATACTGACTATTAAATCCAGCATATACAACTAAATATGCTTGCCTGTCAACCCAGTGATCACATGTTCAAATCCCCAATCCGGACAGACTGTCCTGGACTCCAGGTTAACCCAGCCTAAGAATGGCACCAGGAAAGTTTCTGCAAATTAAAGGTAGTCGGCGTAAAACTGACGACCCACTGAATGTTAATTGGTCTATAATAATATGAGGATTGCATGTATTGCCTAAATAGTCTAAATGGAAATTAATTTATTTCCTTTAACATAAGGACCCCCCCCCCCCCCCCCCCAATGCTATTTTAGTAAATGTTATACACAGGCCTACTGCACAGGTGTGAACAGAACCAATGCATTGTATAGAAAATTGATTTTGTTTCCTTTACCGATGTAACATTCACTAAATCATGTACCATTTTAAATCAACATTATTTTATTAAATATTTTTTTTTTAAACTGAGTGTGTTACAAAGGCAAAAAAATGGGTCTGTTTCCTCTTCATTCAAAGTTTTGTTTTAAATAAGTCATTTATGAAATACCTTGTTTGCCTTTTTCTCAGCTGCTTTATGAAGGAGGCGTGTGGTAGTCTGTACTATTTTATTCACATTCTGGGATGTCTCATGGCTGGAGAAATGAGTAACAAGATAGTGCTTAAATTTAATAATTTATAAATAATAAAATCAAATAATTCATTCAGTACTGTTTTTCTCAAGAGTACATTACAATTTCCCATGAGAACAGTATGAACCAGCCATTGCTGAAGCAACATTTCAAATCAGGAAACCTAGCCACTAATGAATACTTATATCATCTAACTGAAGTTCCTCCAAGAAAAATTTGCCTGTCTATATGGTGAGTTTGAGCTCTAAGGCATGTGTGAAGATAGGAAATGAATACTAGCCACAAAAAGATGTGAACGGTAAAAGTCGTAAGTAAAGAAATTTAAATCTTCTTCTTCTTCATGTTCATCAGCTGTAAACTCCAGCGGAAAGTTCTGGTTGTTCAACTACTTCTGAAATTTAGACTTGTTCTAGAACCTAAGTGTTGTTTGCACATCCGGTTTACATATCTGACTTATCTGTATGCAGACTGTTTGGTTCCTTGCCTCTCAGGCAGATGCACTGTGACTTCGAAGGAAGCCTCCAATTAGTCGACCCTTACGACATTCTTGTTGGGGCGGCAGTGGGTCTGTTCTTGTTTTCCCCCACAATGGGACCCGGAACCCACACGGGAAAAAAAATATAAATAAATAATAATAATAATAAAATTACTACTAGACAATTTAAATAACTTTTCTGAGAACTGTCTTGGAAGGAAAGACAATGAGAAAACAAAGATGGTCAAGCCACCTCATTTGATGACCTGGATTCTGCTAAAGCCTTACAATTCACATTCCAGCTTTAGTATATTCTGTGGGCCTGCCTTTATCTAGTGTAGCATTTCATTATCACTAAAGGCATCAAACAAAAGTTGAAATACTAAAAAACAAATGCTTAGGAAAACTGATAAAAGCCAAATGATATGAATTTTAAAAAAAGGCAAAGCAATAAGAACAATTGCTGGACAACTGCTGGTATCAACAGTTAAAAGACAAACAAGATGCCATATGTTGGACACATTCTGAGAAAAAGCAAACAGAGAATCACAAAACAAATAGACCGAGAAATTGTAGATGTCCAAAAGAAACCCAAGGATGAACACTGATGAAAGAGGCCAAAGGTGCTAGACTAGATTCCATCCGTGATATTGAAACAACTGCATAGGAAAGAACAGAATGGAATTATAAACTGTGAGGCCTATATGAAATGTAACGGTACAGCAGGACAATGATGATGAATGTTTCATAACACAATCAATACTAACAGTTTCACAATCTTACATTTTGTCTCTAAGCTGCGGACTGTCCTTATCAGTTCCAATACCTTTCATAGCCCGCTCCAAGTCACTTGCTGTGAAAGTAAGTGAGACAACAGAGATCACATCCCAACACATCCAAAAATGTTAAGGTTGAAAGGATTAGCGTTATCCCATTTGGCTCGGTCTATCTCATTAGAATGGCTAGCCAACTGCCAAGAGTGTCGCATACAGCACAAACTCAGTAGCTCCGGTGATGATCCCCAGTGATCACTGCAGAAACGGCACCCATGAACCCAAACATGCTGCTGTGAAATGAACCCATGACCAATTAATGTAGATTCACAGAGCGGTTATTTCTTTGCTCTGTTTATATTTAGTGATATCTTACTTGCATTGACCCAAAAAAATGCATGCATGCACGCACACACACAAATAATGATTCAAGGTATGAAAAATCCATCTTTTGAGTTACTCGGAGGCTGCAATGATGCAAAGTTAGCAGGCTTGCATGCCTGCTCGGCAGTCATAGGTTTCACAACCCACCCCCCACCCCAAGACCAAGACTCCAAATTTTGTCTGCTTCTTTTCCCTTCCTCTTGTTTCTAAGAGAAGAGTTTTACAGAATTATAACAATTAGTTTCTTTTTAACAAAATTCTGTAATATGTAATTGTTTTCAAAGATTTTTACAGGGTGAAAGGGCTAACAAAGTTTTTCTCTGCCTAACAAACTCTGCGCTGGCTGCTGAAGATGAGGACGGAGCACACATGGGAATGCCCCGAGTGCTGTGATGTCAATTCTTGACTCAGCTCAACTTCTCTGTCTAGTAAGGAGTCTCAACACAGTTATGTGTGCTGCAGCCCTGTGGTTAAAACGGCAGAAAGCTGAATGATGTAACTATTCTGCTGTGAGTAGGTTTTATAATTGTGAATAGAAATATACATCCTCTCGTTCATTTGGCATTATCTATTTCTGCTTCCATGTTGATCTTGGCTGTTGTATCTTGTCTGGTGAGCCTTCAGTGTTTTAGTATTTTGCTGATAAAGGCTTTGGTCAAAACATTCAGTTGTATTTTCACTCGTCCTTTCTATTCCTTCTGTTGCCCCAGTCGATGGTGCATTTATTATTTAAAATTTAGAAACTGAGCATGGATACTTCTTCTTCTTCTTCTTCGCGTTCACCAGCTGTAAACTCTGGTGGAAAATTCTGGCTGTTCATCCACTTCTGGACTGCAGTGCTGTTCCAAAACCTGAGTGTTGCGTGTGCATCAGTTTTACAGATCAGACACATTTGTATGCAGACTGCTGGTTCCTTGCCTCTCAGGCAGATGCACTCCCACTCTGAAGGAAGCTCCCAATTAGTCGACTCTTACGACATGCTTTTGGGCAGGCAGTGGGTCTATTCTTGTTTTCCCTATAACAGGGCCCCGGAACCCACACGGGGAAGCATGGATAGGGACCTTGCGTACCTGCTCCTTGTGATTTCCAACGTGTGCACAGGATCTCTTCTTCCACTGTTGTCCACAAATATTAGACATTTGATTCAATACCCTAGCATCAGGAGTGTTCATTGTTCATTTTTGTGATGCTCTTCATCACACATTGGACATGACCCTGATCTGCTCCTGAGTATGTCACCAAGTGTTTTTAGGCTTACTCCTATTCTGTTCTAGCTGATATAATGATGGGTGGCAAGATCGGGATGATATGGGAGAGGGGGGGGGGGGGGGGGGGGTAAGGCTTAGAGCCATAAAAAGCAATTTTGAGTGTAAAAATGGGCTCCTATGTGGTACTTCTTAAATCTGAAGCAAATGCTATACCTCCAAGCTACTCCCTCTCTTTCAAAGGGATTTATTTTACCTACTTTTATAAATGCACATTATTTACTACTACATTTTCTGTCTTGCAGCCCCTGGTGTGTAGTGATGACAATCATGCATTTCCACAGCCTTCTGTCTCATATCAATCATTTACAAAACACATGTTCTTCCTTGTTTTAATGCAAAACTATCCAGTATCTTCTCTCTTGATCTGCAACAGCCTTTCTTCTGCTGTAACTTTTGTGGTGTCACAACTCATTTTATAGTTAGTCACTGGGTGCTGAGGAATTTTGTGCAGATGAGGCTAGAGCAGCAGAAAGTTTTCAGATCTCAAGTTACTGGAAAATTCTGCTAAATCAGGTCTTGAACGAATCCACACACTCATAACATTCCCACACGTGCGGTGGCCAACAAAGAGTCAACATGCTAACAGTACCAGATGCAAGCTTATTCAAAGTCTGCCTATGTTCCCCCTCAGTGTTGAATATCTCCCTGAACCTACACTCAACCTCCCTTCCCTCAATCCCCTTTTGAATCAGTCTGTAGGAAAGTACTGTGTTATTAAGTCTAGAAAAAGAGAACAGCACATGAATACCTCCACTGTTGATCTGAAAGATGTTGCCCCTGATCTGTTCAGTGAGATCCACGATGACTGGGCTGTCATCATGATCCTGATAATCCGTGTATTCTGGGTCATCTCGATACTCTCGAATACGAGTGTAGTTTGACATATTGTATTCTGTAAATTAGGACTGTGCTAACCAATCAGCAAGGCTGAAAATATAAGAAAAACATTGAAACAATTGTTTAATCCCCTCAGTGGATTGTCTAATGACTTGATGCATTCATAATTTTTTAAGACGGTACGCTGTACCAGTACCTTTTTCAGCATCAGTTTTCAGTGCTACTGTAATAAACATTTTTGTGGTGGGTGCCGGCATCTTACTGTGGTAAGTACCAGCACTGTTTTCTATTAAAAAAAAAAAAACAGCTGAACAATCTAGACATCAGCAAGGCCATCTTGCAGCAAGTATAAAACATGGGAGTGAGAATAGGGCATTACATTGTGGAGAAAATTGATATGCAAAGAGTGACCAGTGGATCTGGCCAACACTCTACATTCAGAAGAAAGGCAAGTTAGAATGAACGAAGGAACATATAAATAGGCAGTTACTTGTACCATTGGAACTGGAACTCTTCGATGACTGCGAAAGATGTAGCCGTAGTGATATATGGGAATGCCCTGAGTACTCTGATGTCAGTTTTTTTATTAAACTCATCTGAATGAGACTGGCTCATCCTAAAGTGTCGCAAACATCCCATCAAGCATTATTTTATTTTTTTTTACCTTTAACCAGCACAAGCTAAAAAACTGACTAACTTAACTACAGCTCTAATTTTTTTTTTTTTTAGCGTCTCCGTGCATTTGGTCATTAAGCTATTTTATGTTTTCGTGTTTCTATTTCATGTATTTCGAGTCAGCTGGTAAGCTAGTATATTAGTACAAATTTGTTGGATATTTTTTTAATAAGGGCTAACTGAAACATTTCTAGAATGTGCTGGAGAAAAGATTTATATAACTGTATATGACTTACTAATATTCACGGTATGCTGGCTCTAAAATATGTACACATTTCGCAGATATTAACATTTGATTTTGTGGGATGTCTTCCCGCGATAACAAACTATAAACCTCTCTGTCACATGACGCAGGATTCCCAGTTGAATTGGGGGAGAGGGTGGGGGAATAATCTATGCATTAAAAATATACAGATAGGAAATACTATAGATCAGATAAATGTATAACAACAATATTTTACCTTTTACTTTAACGGAGACTAAAAACGATGTACCTCTTGGGCTAAAGAATGCCAACGTATAAAGTATAACTATAACAATGACTTATCAAAGAAGCGCATTCATTGTCCATTGTGTGTGAATATTGAAGGGGCGGGATCTCAATAATAAATAAATAAAATATCTGTCACAGTATGATTTCTGTCAAACGTGCCAAAAGCTTATAGTCACTGAAAACGAATATTGGTTTACCAATAAACTTTCTGCAAGGATCATGTAGCCGTCCCACTAAATTATAACAAGTCAGACACACACCTTTACGTAAGCTGATCGCTCCATTAAATAAAATTATTGGATTATATGTCGTTTTTCGCAACTGTTTACAATCCACATTTTTATTTTTGTGAATTAAATCGCTAAAAAAGTTCGCAATTTAATTTAACACAACTCCAAAATTCTACTTTTTCATCTTCTCTTCCACCTTGTACCTCAGTAAAGTGTCGGGGGGGGGGGGGGGGGGGGGGGGGAGAAAGAAAAAAAAAAAAGGGGGGGGGGGGGTGGTGTAACATTCGTTGATGAGCTCTGTCAAGAGCACTATTAGGACTGATGTTCATTTCTGTAAGGCTGTTCCTAATGCCATCACTCCATATTTTCAGAGGTCTTCCTTGCTCTATACCGATTGTGACGTTTTAGTGTGACTGGCTGTGGCAGATAGTACAAGTACAAGGGAATTGTTGTTAGGTGTTCAAACCACTTCATTTGTTGTTCTTTGATGACTTGTAAGACTGGCTTTATTCCCATCACTCGTCTGATTTCGTATTCGTTATTTCCTTGAAACTCCTGCAGCTCTTCTAAGACATTTCATCTCTGTTGTCACAATTTCGCGTTCATTGGAGGATGTAAGTGTCCACATTTGGCACTGATAGCAAAATTCTAGATATACAAAAGAGTAAGTTATATGCATTTCATGGAACAAATACTTCTTCTTCTTCTCAAAGTCCATGCCGTGTAACACTGATAGTCATGTCGATCCACAATCTTCTGTCTCGTGTACTTTCAGTCAACTTTTACACATATAATCTTCCATGCTATGTTGTCAAACTGTTCAGCATCTTCTTTCTCGATCTCCCTCCACCTCTGTTCCCTTCCAACTTTCCCACTGTCACAATATATTATCAACTTTTCTAATGATCAAATAATGTAGATTGCCTCTTTCTGATGTGGGCAATCAGTTATGTTCTGAATTGGTTTCTTCAATCAAATACGTTTTTCTTAAGAGACGGAATTAAAAGAGAATTGCTGAAGACCAGTAAAATATTTCCTTCCTATTTAAAGACATAACAAGCTTATTAAAATAATTCATTCATTATCATGCTGTGTCTCGCAAGCTCGTGGGTTCGGGTCCTAGGGTAGCCGGAATTTTTTCCAGAAATGACCTTGGCTCCCAGGTCGACCCAGCCTTGAGTGGGTACCTGGAAAGTAAATGCGGTCGGTGTGGTGTTGACCAAGCACCCACCAAATGCCGATTGGTATATAAATACAGGTCTACCCCTATATGGTTAGGTTAGGTTAGTTGAGTATCCTTTACAGGACGTTGCAGAACCAACTCCAGCAGCCCTTGGCTGTTGTGTGGTTTTTCTAGGCAAATTACGTCCAGTAGTGAAATCAGCAACGAAATGCTAATCAACCTGAGCTCATCTGCTAAAGTAAAGATACTGAAAATTTTCAACATCAGCTGGGAGAAAGTTTTGGTGTCTCAAGTATGGAGAGAAGCCACCACAATACCCATTTAAAAAAAAGTAAACATTAAGACACAGGCTTCGAGCTATCACCCAGTTAGTCTCACAAGCTATGTAGGAAAGACATTGGAAAGAATGGTAAATTCAAGATTGAAATGGCACTTAGAATCTGAGCAGATCTTGGTGCCAGAGCAGGCTGGGTTTAGGGAATGTCACAACATAGAAGACCAAGTCACCTACCTGTCATAAGCTGTAGAGGATGCCTTCCAAGAGAAGAAAAAGGTCCTTGCGGTATGGGTTGACTTCAAACAAGCTTTTGACAAAGTCTGGAAAGATGGTCTCATTGCAAAACTGAAGAGAAATGGAAATCGAGGAAACATGCTAAAATGGATCCAATCCTTCTTACACAGCAGGAGAACTAGAGTCAGTCTTGATGGCCAGCAGAGTAGAAAAGTGTTACTTCGACAAGGAGTACCACAGGGAGGAGTTATCTCTCCAACTCTCTTTCTTGTGTATATAAATGATCTGGTGAAAGATCTCCCTACAGGAGTAAAAGCTGCCATGTATGCAGATGATCTGGCACTGTGGTGTACCGATGAACACACCACAGTGGCAAATATAAGAATGCAGCGAGCAGCAGATCTCTTGATGACATGGGCAGAAAAATGGCATGTTGCCATCAACACAGACAAAACATCCACAACGCTTTTCTCTCTTTCCCCCAGGGACAAAGCTGCTAGTATTCACCTAGGAACATCCTTGCTAAAGGAAGAAAGCTTCCCCACTTATCTTGGAGTAACATTTGATAAAAGGCTCACATGGAGCAAACATATAGAAAATGTAGAAGGAAAGGCCAGGAGACGACTAGGCCTACTTAGAAAACTGGCAGGTACAGGAAGGGGAGCGAATGGAAAAACCCTAAAGAAAGTTTTTAATAGAGCGATAAGACCCCACTTGGAGTTTGGTGCAACAGCATGGTCAACAGCTGCTAATTCCCATCTACAATCGTTAGACAAAGTGCAAAATCAAGCTCTTAGACTCATCACAGGATCCATGAAAACTGCACCAATCCTGAAGATGCAGAAAATAACTGCAATGCAGATGCTGTCCTATAGAAGTGACACTAAAACTATGATCCAGATGGAAAAGTTTAATAGTATGCAGTCACACCCAATGAATAAAAGGTTAGATGATCTGGCATTAGGGCGTCTCAAACGTAGCAGCTTTGTCCATCGGGGGAAAAGACTTAGAAGACAGTATCAAGCTGATCTACCTATTAGAACAACACCGCTGAAACCTACCCTATACCCTGTACCTTGGGAGCAAGTCAGTGATACAATACAGATAATGACTTCAGTCAATGGATTCACAACTGGAGATGAGTCCAATGATCTTCAAAAACGAACAGCTGCTCTTAGCATGATTCATGAAAACTACCCCGAACAGTCATGGATACATGTTTACACAGATGGATCAGCAACCAGTGCGGTTAAAAATGGGGGTGCTGGAGTCTTTATTACATACCCAGGCAACCACCGCCACACAAAGTGGATACCCACTGGTAAATTCTGTTCCAACTACACAGCAGAGATTGTAGCACTAGAGCAGGCTGCCGAAATGTTACACAATACCAGTTCTGACTGCCACCAAGTGGTCATATTCACAGATGCACTATCAGTGCTTCAAGCCCTCAAGAGTGGCAAACTCCCTCACTTGAGATCTGAACTTGGCAAGGTGGCTGCCCAAAAGTGTACTGTACTCCAGTGGGTGCCATCCCACTGTGGTATACCAGGAAACGAAACCGCAGATAAACTTGCTAAAAAAGGGGCAGCATGTGACCAGGAAGAGAATGCAGTAACATACTATGAGAAGAAAAGGGCCATCCAGGCTATTAGAAGTGAACAGAGTCTGGCCAGAGATGACTACCACTTACTTGACCGGCATGGGCAGGTCATTGTCCTACGTCTCAGGACAGGACATAAAAAAACTTAACCAGCATATGCACAGGCTTCGTCTAAGTAGTTCACCTTTTTGCCCTTGTGGGCTATGTGTGCAGACTACAGAACATGTCCTGCAAGACTGTCCCTTGTTCAGCCCATTAAGAAAGGAATACTGGCCCAGAGAGTCACCACTGCACACAAAGTTGTATGGGACTAAAAATGAACTCATAAAAACAGTCAAGTTTATACAAGAAC